AGGCAAGTGCGCAGCCCACTGGGCCGCCCAGACCTGGGGTTAACCCTAGCTTAACCCGAGGGTTAACCCTAGCTTTGGAAAATCAATTAGGGTTAGCTCAGGAAAGGGTTAAAGCTCGTTCCAAGCTATGGTTTCCGCATATGAAATGAAAGAGCACTTCGTTGCCCATCTTCTCAACACAAAATGGTCCGGATAAAAGAATAACACAGGGGTTTAAATGGGCCCGGAACAATTGTTACCCCAGTGGGCCCAAAGGGGTTAATAAAAGTGGACGATTTGGTTTCAGCTCTGGCCAGCCCATGCTAGCTTTCACAGACCACTTTGGTACACTTAAAATAGTAGAAGAGACGCTGTGGGACTTAGCAAAAAAAAAAATTTTGGAAAAAGCTTCGCCAGGGACTCGAACTCGGGACCCCAAAGTTGCCAGGCAAGTGCGCAGCCCACTGGGCCGCCCAGACCTGGGGATAACCCTAGCTTACCCGAGGGTAACCCTAGCTTTGGAAAATCAATTAGGGTTAGCTCAGGAAAGGGTTAAAGCTCGTTCCAAGCTATGGTTTCCGCATATGAAATGAAAGAGCACTTCGTTGCCCATCTTCTCAACACAAAATGGTCCGGATAAAAGAATAACACAGGGGTTTAAATGGGCCCGGAACAATTGTTACCCCAGTGGGCCCAAAGGGGTTAATAAAAGTGGACGATTTGGTTTCAGCTCTGGCCAGCCCATGCTAGCTTTCACAGACCACTTTGGTACACTTAAAATAGTAGAAGAGACGCTGTGGGACTTAGCAAAAAAAAAAATTTTGGAAAAAGCTTCGCCAGGGACTCGAACTCGGGACCCCAAAGTTGCCAGGCAAGTGCGCAGCCCACTGGGCCGCCCAGACCTGGGGTTAACCCTAGCTTAACCCGAGGGTTAACCCTAGCTTTGGAAAATCAATTAGGGTTAGCTCAGGAAAGGGTTAAAGCTCGTTCCAAGCTATGGTTTCCGCATATGAAATGAAAGAGCACTTCGTTGCCCATCTTCTCAACACAAAATGGTCCGGATAAAAGAATAACACAGGGGTTTAAATGGGCCCGGAACAATTGTTACCCCAGTGGGCCCAAAGGGGTTAATAAAAGTGGACGATTTGGTTTCAGCTCTGGCCAGCCCATGCTAGCTTTCACAGACCACTTTGGTACACTTAAAATAGTAGAAGAGACGCTGTGGGACTCACTCCACTAATTCATTTGCCATCTCTTCCCATGTTAAAAAACCTTCTATAACTTTTTCCAGAAATCTCGTTGAAAGCTCTCCAATATGTCGAATGAAAGCCTGGCCAATTCTCAACGTTTCCTAAAAAATTCATTATATGACGACCATGAAAATTATGAGCTACTAAATTGAAAGTAGACTACTACCGGTTATATTCATCTGCTAGTGTTTGGCAGTTCACAAACCGACTATTTTTAGAATTAGCCTTCCGCCTTTAGGTCTCTCATCATCTCACCAAATCTGAAAGATAATGCAATTTCAGACATCAAATTCCAAATCTAGACCAAATTTTACCCAAAAATAGGCATGCAAAAACCCCAAAAGGGAGAGAGAAAGAAGATTTCTAAAAATAGCCTGGACTACATTCCTATACAATCATTTGCATAAAAATAAAATGTTTTAGTGGACTGAGCTAGTCCTATATACCGTTAGTAGTCTACTTTCAATTTTAGTAGCTCAAAATTTTCATGGTCATCATATTGATTTTTTTAAAAGATATTAAGGATTGGTCAGGCTTTTATTCGAAATATTTAAAAACTTTCAACGAGATTTCTGGAAAAAAAAGTTGTAGAAGGTTGAATATCGTTTTTTAACATGGGAAAAGATGGCAAATGAATTAGCGGAGTGATTCCTTATGAATGGATATTTTGTGGTACAGTCGATTCAGAGTTCTTTCCCTTGATTTGATTCTCATAAAATGAAAATCGAATTTACTCATCAAAATTCTCGAATTTCAAGCCATATTTTAAAGCGAAATACGTGCGTTTGTGGATAATACTTATTGATCGAGTCAGTTGAAGGCTTTAAACATGGCGGAAACTACAAAACGAAAAACAACTGATCCTGAAGAAGAAAGTACAAATGAAGTAGAAGATGCCTGGATTGGTCCATTGCCAGATGAAGCTGCCAAACCAAAGAAGCGCAAAGGTTTGTCACTTCTAGTTCACCTAGTAAGTCCTAGTTACGGAAGAATACACATATCTTTTGACTTTTGTTTTAATTTATGCAAGGTAAAACTGTTCTAAACCCAAATATGAATGATGGCATGGCCTTGAATGATAGCCCAGCTTATTGATAAAATAACAATAATTAATAATAAATAAATAATAGAAATTCAGTCTGATCTGTATGTAATGCAAACTACTTTGTCTTCTAATCATATGTGTGAAGGTAATCTTCTATGAATATAAGATCTGTAGACAAATCTAGAGATATTTCTATAAGGAGTGAAAGTACGGTAATTATCTATAACGATGACGTCATTATAACGTGACGTATGATGTCAACAAAGCCGCCATCATTGCTTGGGAGAAAGTCTTGGGAAATTAGGTCAAAAATGTCATTTTATTCCTTATGAGGCATAGAATATCCAGGAAAAATAAAAATAAAACGAAAGGGTTGTTAAGTTGGTACAAAACATCCCTTTCTGTGTTTGAAACAATTGTCAGAATTTATTTAAAGAATTCCAGAATATTCACTCCAAAAGTACCCCGATTGACTGCGATCTAGTTGTCAACAAACATGGCGGCCCGCATGATCCGCCGTCTTTTTTCTCACTTTTTTTTCTGGAACGAATTGATGTATGTATGTGTTACCATTATAGAGAGCTTCGCCGTCGAGAGAGCTGTGCCCTCATATTATTATGGTATGGCCTAAAACTATTTCTAACTACCTAAGACCCAATAGGCAGTTGCACTCTATTCAACAAAATGCAACCTCTATCTTGCCCTAAACAAGTCATCATATTACGCTACTGTAATAGATTAAAGGGACCTTTCCAGGAGTAAAGCTAACCTTGCTTGGTCTCAGAAACGTGAATTGTTTCGCTAAACTAGTAATCAGTCATAATGTGCAGAGCTTACTGTCAAAATTTCTATGTTATCTGTGCTAATTATCTTAGTATGAAAGTTATTTTAACAAGACAACATTTTAAGAGAATTTTATTTTAAATATCATTATCTGTTGATGGCGTTATGCGACCTGGACTCAATCATCCTATCCCACTTCATGGAAGATATTTTGGTGTCAGAGACTATATCAAAATAACATTCAACTTTCTTATACGTAAATTTAAGAGAGAAGATAGGCTTGAGAACATGATATATACAGTTAAATTTCTTGTTTGGCGTAATTTTAAGGAATTATGCGATTTTTGTACAGTTTTAGTAGTTCTGAAAACTATTTACAAATATTCAAGGCTTAATTCAATCCCCAAAATTGCTGCATCTGTCCCTTTAAGTAGACTGTTGTAACAAGATAACTGCCACAGGTTGAATTCATCTTTTTGAAGAGAATGACCAAACACATTTCTCAAATAAATGAATAAGATGTATAAGACTTTTCTTTGAAAAAATTATGGTATTGTGGTCAAAACTAGTCAAAGGGGCAGGAGAAATGCCTGATATTCAAACAAGATCTCATCAGTCACATCTTCTGGATGTTTATTATAATTAACAGCTTCTGTTATAGTGAGGTCATATTGTTATTCTATACCTGTAGTAACAATATCCTAAAGGCCCGACTACACGATCATACATTTGTTCAAAACATCGTCATACATTTGTATGTGTAGACGGCTTTCCCAACAAGGTTGAACATGGTCAAACATGTAGGACGCTGTTCAAATTTTTAGCTTCATGTTTCATCTTTGCAACAAATGTTGGCAATATTTAAATTATTTATCCCTCTTTAACAAATCAGCTGCCGTACAGACGTCATGTGACTGCCTTCCCATCTTTCAAAATGGCGACCAATGCAGAAAAAGTTTGGACCGTACAGGATGTTACTAAATTAATTAGCCCGTATGAAGACCACCCATGTCTTTATAACACTTTAATTAAAGACTATAAAGATAAGGCATTACGAAAATTAGTAATGCACCGATTGACAGAGGAATTACGAACAACTGGTAAGTAATTTGTCTTCAAACCACGCTCGAACGAGGTCAGTCATTCATCCTCAGTTTGTTTATTATTTATTGTCTTCGCAAAATCGTTGGTATACGTAATCAAAAGTTGCCGATTTTCTTTAAAGTTGATTTGAATATCAGTTTAAACAGTACTTCAGGAATGATGATTGAAATGGTCTGATTTGGTACCCTGTAAAGGTATTGTGGACTAGTGTAGGATTCACCTGAAAAGTAAAAATTATAGTAATGTGTATTTTTTTTTTCATTTTTATACACCCACATGTAAGGTTGAAATCACCCTGTTGGTCTGTTCACATTTGGCTCGTGCTGACTCTACAGGCAACGATTCTTAACAGATTCTTTTGATTTTGTGGGTCAATGCCATTACAGGGTTCGCACAGCCTTGAAAAACCCTTGAATTCCGTTCGTTGCCTTGAAAAACCTTGATTTCAAAAAAAGTCTTTGAGTCATAAAAAAACCCATTTTCTCTTGAAAAGTCCTTGAATTTTGAGTTGAGTCAAATTGTGTATATTTTTATCATTAACCCCATTGACAAATATTAACTATCTTTATTGATTTCACAGTTCAGAAGTAAGGTACATGTGTATTCTGTCAGACTAATATCCTTGAAAATTCTTTGAATTTTTGAGGCAAAGTGCTGTATGAACCCTGCATTATGGAGATGATCCCTATTGATTTTTGTAAAGATCTGATAATTTTACAACCAAATATTGTTCTGCTGTTATAAATAAATCTCTGGACTTCTTATTCTGTTTATTTCTACTCATCTAAACATGCTTGATAACCAGTGTGTGATAAAACGGAAGTTATTAATGTCTTACCTGTAGCAAGATACATCAGTGTCAGGGCAAGACATTCCCCTGGAGATATTTCAGGTCTTATTACTGTATCTTCAAAGGCAATTAATGGCTTCACCTTTGGTAATAATTGGTGAAATGAAGTTACATCCATGCGCAAGAAATTTCAGAAGCAGGCCTGGTCTGTTAGCTGTAACTCACTCAATAAGGCCTCTTCTTAGGATCCAGTCCCTGACCCATTGGCAAATCTTTCGCGCTCTCCTCTTTCGCTTTTGGCGACAAGGATTGTATAAATGATATCTGATGCAGCAGCACCACTCAACAGACAGCTTTCAGCATCCATGTTGAATTATTTTCGCACCAAAAATGTTATTTACCCTTCATTATTGGTCATACATGGTCAAACATCATCATACAAATGTTGGATCATGTTTGATGGTGTTTGATAGTGTAGACAGAAATCCACAACAAGCTTGAACATGGTCGTGTATGATGATGTTTTGAACAAATGTATGATCGTGTAGTTGGGCCTTAAGACATCTGGCAGAAAATAAGAATGATATAAGCAAATAGAAACTATAGATGGTCTTGATTCACATAAAGCTAGAAAACCTTTGTGCACTCCCTTTTGAGACTCATAATTCTCATCGACATTTAATGGAAAGGTGCTGAACACAGTAAATGATTCACAATTTTAAAGTGACCTATTGATTTATCATTGCCAGTAACCTACACTGTCTTTCATTTATGAGTAAAATATAGATTTTGTTTCAGTTTTGGAGTTTGAAAAAGTGTACCTGAATAATATGCCAAGCTCAGAATATTATGAAATAAGTTACATGCACAGAGATGTTGTTACTCATGTTGCTTGTGCGAAGTATGTAAAAAAATTTTTACTATATATATGTTTAAATGTATATTGACATTGATATCTTTAACACAGCCCCCATTTTGTAGTACCGATGTTTCATTCTCTTCTTACATTTATAAGAGGTTATCAAATTATTTGGTTACAATTCATTACTTAATAAAAAGAAAATATTATCACAAGTTATCAATATAAATTTCCTTTCTAGAAACGGATTCATTATAACATCAAGTAATGATGGTCATGTCAAATTTTGGAAAAAGAACGAAGATGAAGGTATTCAATTTGTGAAACATTTCAGGAGTCATTTAGGTATGTCAAATTTTATTATAGATTGTTAAAGATGGAGTCTTTCATTTTTGTTTCTAATCCATTATTGTGTGTCAAACACTTATATAAATCGATTGGCTGGTTATCCTAACAACTTCCGAGTATAAGAGTTAATCTGTGCGGTCCCTAATTAACTCGTAATTAGCTAATTACCAAGGGAATCCCCATGTTTACATTTCCAATAAAAGTCGATCATAACAAAGAAAATTCTGTCACTTACAACATGGCGGCACCAAGAATATGGTTCTAGCAATTATATTTTGGTATTCGGTTTTCTATCTCTAATGCCAGTGCAAAATATGTTTCCATTTGTTCAAGATAAATAATTGTAATCATTTTAAGTATATTCTTACTTACCATATTGCTTTTCTCCTCTGCTGGACTAAATATTTCGAATTACGAAAATGTGGATAAACTCTTCAATTTAAATCAGAAATTATCATGTCACTTGATCTCTAGCTCATTCCTGAAAGTAAAGAGCTTGACGAAGCCTTTGTGTGGTTGATTGACAAACTAATGTTTGGATTAACCACTAGAAAGGCCAATTAATCTATGGATAAGCTCTTTAATCTCTTTTGGACTACTTTTAATCAAGAAAACCCATTTTTATACGCCCACATGAAATGGGGGGGCGTATATTGCCGTCACCTCATTCCGTCCGTCCGTCCACAATTGCTCGTAAACACTGACTGATTTCGATGAATCTTGGTATGGTTGTTTGTAATCACCCAAGGATGAACTCTATTGAAAACCGGACAAATCGAAAAATATTTACTATGAGTTATTTCCCTTGTTCTTAAAACGCTCGTAAACACTCTATTGAAAACCGGACAAATCGAAAAATATTTACTATGAGTTATTTCCCTTGTTCTTAAAACGCTCGTAAACACTCTATTGAAAACCGGACAAATCGAAAAATATTTACTATGAGTTATTTCCCTTGTTCTTAAAACGCTCGTAAACACTCTAGAAGGTCCAATTCATGACGGTTTTGATGAAACTTGGTGTGAGTGTTTGTAATCACCCACCCAAGGATGAACCCTATTGAAAATCAGAAGTATTGAAAAATATTTAGTATGAGTTATTGCCCTTGTTCTTGAAACCGCTTTCAAATTTAGCTCTTAAACACTAAAAGGCATGATTCTTTCTGGATTTTGACAAAACTTGGTTTTATTAATCAGTCCTGAAGATTGAATATTTGCCTTCTAGAGTTTTCACGAGCTAAAGATTGAACACGTTTTTAAGAACAAGGCCAATAACTCATACTCAATGTTATTCAGTGTTGTGCTAAAGAGTTCAAAAGAAGTGTATGACTGAAGGTTGAATATTTCATACTGGTGATTGTTACTGTACTGCTAAATATTTATGTTCAAAAGCTGCCAGTGGGCGTATATTATCTTGCCTGGCAAGATATCTTTATTAGAGTAATCGTTCATTCAAAATATTGAAATAGTTGATTATAATAAATAAAAAAAATACCTGAACCTTTTTGTTGAGAATCTTTGTCTTACTCTGGCATGTTTTTTGGTGGTTTTCCATGTAAACACAAAGGCTTAAGGTGCAAAAAGGTCTAAATGGGGTCAAATTTCATAAGCCCATTATTGCAGTTTTTCATTTCAGGTACTATTAATGATATGAATTTAAGTCTAAATGGAGAATATTGTTGTACTGTCGCTGAAGATAAGACAGCTAAGGTATTTGATGTTGTTAATTTTGGTAAGTTGTAGTTAGATTATGCATAATTATTTGCAGCAAATTCAAAATTAAAAAAAATATATATTAGTTTAATATCTTGATAATTATAAATAAAAGTGTTGTTAGTTCTTGGTTTCCATTACAGATATGATAAATATGATGAAATTGGGTTATGTTCCTAAAGCATGCTGTTTTATATTTGCTGCTGGTGATGCTATTGCTGCATTAGCTGTGTAGGTAATTTTGTGTTCAAAGTCATATAAAGTTTAGTTTTAATGAATCTCTTCAATGTTATGAAGTCAACACAATGATAAGATGCTCAAAAGATTAATGACTCTACAGAGAGAAAAGGTGGTTCTTGTAGACATTCTTGTTTTTACGTTAAAAATTTGATACCTTAAGCTCTACTGTAATAAACTTTGAAAATGAGTTTGTTTCATTTTTTTGAAGACTCAAATCAGTTATATTGTTAATTGTTAATAGAGTTATTTATATTAGAATGGTTTGATTGTTTTATGATTTTTAAATCCATATTTGTTTTTGTTTGTAGGTCAGAGGATAAGAGTAATAATATTTATGTTTACGATGGAACTGGTAGTAATACTCCATTACATACTGTAGATAAATTACATTATAAACCTGTTACACATATAAAGGTACATATAGGAAATTTAATTTTTCTTTTATACTCCATGAGTTGTGATATATTTCATTAAAAATCATACCAATCATAGTGTATGGGCAATATATTACATTACATCTGAATTTCCAAAGTGTACAAATACCAAAGTTCCTAGTGTGCTGCCATTATTTTGAGAATCATCTTTTTCCATAGTTATCCCTAAACAAATAAGTTGTAAGATTTTTTCGAAAAGAATTCCACAGTTATTGATAGTTTAATTGGCAGTTAATTCCACTGGTAAGGCGATGCCGCAGAAATGCATGTGTTGACTGTTTTAAGGAATAGTCTGGGAGATAGTCTGGGAGACTGAAAGGAGGTTTTGGAGGAGACAGTGTATAAATGTCAATCAAATCTGTTATGTAACTTGGAGCTGTACCATTCAATGCTTTATATGTTTGTAAGAGGATTTTATAAATAATTCGTATTTAGATAGGCAGCCAGTGCAAACTTTCCAGAACCTGAGTTGTATGTTCCTGCCTCCTGCTTCCAGTATATTTGAATGTGTAGTATTTGTATTGACAGTATAATGGTATATTTGAATGTAGTATATTTGTATTGACGGTATAATGGTATATTTGAATGTGTAGTATATTTGTATTGACAGTATAATGGTATATTTGAATGTGTAGTATATTTGTATTGACAGTATAATGGCATATTTGAAAGAGTAGTTTTTTTTGTATTGACAGTATAATGGCATATTTGAAAGTGTAGTTTTTTTGTATTGACAGTATAATGGTATATTTGAATGTGTGGTATATTTGTATTGACAGTATAATGGTATATTTAAATGTTTGTATTGACAGTATAATGGTATATTTGAATGTGTGGTGTCAATAGATACTGGTGGTATGGTAGAAGTATGGACAGGACCTAAATATGATTATAAATTTCCTAAAACACTGCAGTGGGAGTATAAAACAGATACAGATCTTTATGATTTTATGAAGGTAAAGCATATTATAATCATTGTAATGCAATGATGAATATTGTAGTTTATAATTCTATGCTGTCAGCACTTATCTCTAGCTATAATTTTCTATAATTTTTGAAACTGATTCAAACTGCTTCTTTTATTAATCTATTTAGAACCAATTCATACTTTTATTGTTGATCACAGTTACCATACTTTAGTTTAAGATTATTGATATTATCTTTCAGTGTAAAGCTCAACCCACCAACCTTGCTTTCTCACCAGATGGTAAATTATTAGTTACCATGGCTACAGATAAAAAGGTAAAAGTATTAATATTTATAATTTTTTAGACAGTATAATCCATTATGCTCAGTTCACACCAACAGCGCTTTGATCGCGCTTTAAAGCGGCGTACAAAGCGGTACCAAAACGTAACAAAGCTCGACTAAAGCGCCAGTGTCGTAATAGATCGTTGGAAAGCTTTGAGCAAAGCTGGATATTCGGCAAGAGCACCAATTTTGGGCACTCTGTCACGGATTGATTAAAGCGCCGAGAACGTATCAAAGCTTAACAAAGCGTAACAAAGTTCAGCAAAGCTTGACTCAAAGCGTAGGAAAGCTTAACAGAGCTTTATTCGATTCCTGACTGGGAAGTTAACTAAAGTTTTAGATGAAACAATACAACAGTATAATGAAATGCAAGAGGTGGGTTTATTTACTTTATATTCATAACTGCAATATTTGGGGTTTTTTTAATACGAAATATTGATAATTTGATTTATATCAAGCATTTTTCAAGATGAGTATTCAAAATTATAGATTAAAAGCACAATTGTAATATTTCCACCCTTTTATTGGAAATTCAGATGAAACAGGTGTTACCAAATATGGAGTTTGGTAGAAGAATGGCACTTGAAAAAGATTTTCAGAAGTCCGATTCTTTTTCCTTATCAAACATAAGTAAGTACTGGTTATAATTAATCAAATTAATGATAATTATTTAGAATGTAAATCTAATTTTGTTCTACAGCTATGTAATTTAGCTGACAAACGGTTACTGATTTTTACAATCCGCATATTCTGTGCCACTATTCGCAGGTATCTGTAGGCTATTTGTAATAAATTTATCAATGAATTTATACCAATAAGCCTATGAGGTATACATTCGATTTCACAAATATGGATTTTTTAGGTATAAATTTATACAAAAAATAAGTTTTGTAGATACTGTTCAATTACAGACATATACATGTACTAGAAATTCTATCAAAAATGAAGTTTTGAGTTACAAATAAGTATCCTGTGGCAAAAATAGTGTGTAGTTAGTCAATTTATCATCCTGCTATGTTAAACTGTGAAAGGCTTGTCAGTGCTATGTAAAAATTTCTTTGTAGTATATAAATTTCTGTTTAAATTAAGCCCAAAAATGGCATTATGTCATTCTTTTTTCTCTCTTACAGTTTTTGATGAAAGTGGAAATTTCATTTTATATGCTACATTATTGGGTGTAAAAGGTAATGTTTATTTATTTTTCTAGTTTGTTTTTTAAATGAAGTCAATCTGTCTAGATTTGATAGATTTTTGCAGCCAGGCGTTAATCTAATTCAACTTACCTCTGAATATTGATAATTGAAATTTATTCTTCAACTGATGCATTTAAAAGAGAATGCTGGTGTCTGATGCTTGTTCATTAAAGGGAAAGTCCAGGCTTCAATCTCTGCATTGGGCATTTTACAAACCAGTTTGCCCTGCCCTTGCTAGTCATTCAGGATGGGTCTAAATAAAGCTTCTAGCTGTTTTCATGGGACAATAAGTAAACCCTGTGTTGAAAAGGCTTCACATTTACAATATACATACGCATAGCTTATTTCCCTTATTGCACACTGCATGGAATCATCTTTCTTTAGGGCAATCATTTGATTGAATTATGTTGTTATTGTCTTCTTGGTTCAACAGTATTTAGTTTACAATTATCATTGCAGTAATAAATCTACATACAAATCAATGTGTGAGGTATATTGGAAAACCAGAAAATATTCGATTTGTCCAGTTAGCAATGTTTCAAGGTAGTGGTAAACAAATGAAGGCAGCCGTAGATGTTGATATGGTGACCTCGGATAATCCTCTATTATCTCAACATTTAAACGATCCCATATTGTTCTGTACAGCTTATAAAAAGAATAGATTTTTTATGTTTTCTCAAAGAGCAGCTTCTGATGCCAGAAGGTATGAATAATGAATATCAATCTCTAAATAATAGTTCAGATCTCAGTTCTAAAATACTTGTCAGAAGCTGAGGATTGGAGAGGGCTGGAAATATTTCACCATCACGATGATATAGTAAGCTGTGAAACTGTGTCAGGTAGATTATGCTAAATGTTTCTTGGATCGATGGCTGCTGTTTCTATTGTCAACTGCCAATGCATACTTCTAAAAGAATTGTGACATCTGTTTATTGTTTATTTTTAGTGTTTCCAATGAAAGAGATGTATTTAATGAAAAACCATCAAAGGAAGAAATTGTAGCAGCTACACAGGTACAAATAACATAATATGATATAATCATATGATAAAAAATAAAATCAGTGGGGAATTTGTTGAGGTAATGCCTAGTTCACACCAATGGCGAATCCTGCGCTTTAAATCGGCGAGCAAAGCGCCATCATTTTTTGTTTACTTTTCAAAAAATATTACGATCTCCTAAGTAATGTTACGCTCTGATACGAATTGGTTACGCTTTGGGGACGAATTATTTCAGGCCCTGTTACGCTTTAAATCACGCTTTGATAAGCTTTATTAAGCTTTGATGCGGTTATGACGCTTTAAATCACACTCTGATACGATTATCAAGCTCTGTTGTGCATTGTTAAGCTCTGTTACGCATTGGAAAATTTCGAAATGGCCGATTTCATGCTGCTTTTGATCAAGTGGTGACAGACTGTGAAGAATGGAGTCCCCGCTTTGAATAAAGCTCTGTTAAGCTTTCCTACGCTTTGAGTCAAGCTTTGCTGAACTTTGTTACGCTTTGTTAAGCTTCGATACGTTCTCGGCGCTTTAATCAATTCGTGACAGAGTGCCCAAAATTTTTATATACAGTTTAAAAATTTTTGGCGCTCTTGCCGAATATCCAGCTTCAAAGCTTTCCAACGATCTATTACGACCCTAGCGCTTAAGTCGAGCTTTGTTACTCTTTGGTACCGCTTTGTACGCCGCTTTAAAGCGCCATCAAAGTGCCGTTGGTGTGAACTGAGCATTATGATTAATAATGCATAATTTGATATTTTAAGTAAGAATTGCTGTTTTTCTTTGCAGGATGTAGCGTATTCAAGTATATCAGATAGTTGTGTCCTACATACAACAATGGGAGATATACATATCAAACTATTTCCTAAAGAGTAAGTTATTATACACATAATAGTTTTGTTATGGTATAATTGGTTAATAGACTGAATTATTATTGTCATTGACTAGAGCTCATCTCATGACGCCAACATGTGTTAGATAAACAATCCTTATCAGGACAAATTAGAAAAGGGATATAAACTTTTCAGAATGAGAACTGAGAGTAAAGTTAGCTTTCTCGATAAATGGAGTTATAAACAATATTGTTTTAACATTTTCTTTGAGCTAAATAATATTTTATGTTTTATTCCAGATGTCCTAAATCAGTCGAGAACTTCTGTGTACACAGTCGGAATGGTTATTATAATAATCATATATTTCATAGAGTTATAAAAGGTTTTATGGTTCAAACTGGTGATCCTTTAGGTATGGTACGGATTTCCCATTTAATTTCCAAAATATAGAGTTGTCTACCTTGAATAATAGAGAATATTAGTCCCAATGAAAGATAATATGTAAGATTCAGTATTCTGATCACAGTTCAAGATAATAACTTAACATAAATATGATATGATATGAGATAAACATTGAATATAACCTTCTAAAATGAAGATTATTTTGATTACTTGGTGTAATCGAACATTGGATTGAAATATCAAACTTTCATCTCTCAGTAGTGTAAGTTATATGACAATTGAAAAAAAATATAGATATCTAACATAAGGTATGTACATGAAAAAAATTGTGGTGGCTGAAAAGAAACAAAAAGGGTCAAAGTCGTAAAATTCCATTTAAAAATGATTTTGAAATCTGATTGTAGGTAATGGAACAGGAGGAGAATCTATATGGGGTGGAGAGTTTGAAGATGAGTTTCACCCATCATTACGTCATGATAGACCATATACTTGTAGTATGGCAAATGCTGGACCAAATACTAATGGTTCCCAATTCTTTATTACTCTAGTTCCAACAGTAAGTACATGTAACATATCAGAGTATTTCAGATGTCCAGTTGACTTTAAAATATGTTACCAATTAACTCTCATCTTCCTTAGAAAATGACAGGTCTAAGCGACCTTAACCAAACAGGCAACAGGTTTTAATTTCTAAGTTTAACAATGTACAGATGATGGTATAACTTTAGCTAAATGACTAAATGATTTATTTGTAGCCATGGTTAGACAACAAACATACAGTGTTTGGTAGAGTGGTAAAAGGAATGGAAGTTATACAGAATATTGGAATGGTTAAAACTAATGCAAAAACAGATAAACCATTTGATGATATTCGAATAATAAATATCTCTGTGAAATAGTGAAAATAAAATAGAATTTTTAACAAAATAACTTAAAAATGTTATTCCTCTCTTTTCCCTCTCTTTTCTCAAAATAGTTAAATGGTTGCTTTAAAAACAATAAAATGAATATCAGCACCCAGGTACAGAAATAGATGAGTTACATCGTGTCCAAACCACACCCCCATTTGTCATACTTCCCCGGGGCCGTGGTAAAACATGTGAGAAATATTACGTATTCATAGCTAAATATATATTTGTTCGACTATACAGTTGTGTTCATTTATATTAAAGGAATAAAGTTGTTTTAATATTTATTTCAATTTTAACTTTCCATATAACCACAGTTAATGTCTGACAAAATAAGAACCAGGTCATCATTGTCAATCATTTATTAAAATTCTTACAGCTGCAGGTGACATTTCTTTAAAGTTTAATTGAAACTTATGAGCATGTACACATCTTTCGAGCTGAATGACAGTGATGTGATGTGAAAATAAATGAATTAATGTATTTGATAAGTAAAATAGGAGGTGAAATGTTTAAAATGTACTTATGTTAGCAATCGATTCAGAGTTAAGAAGAAATGATTATTATGACAACTATTTCCTTTTCTATTTACTTTTCCTTCTGTCTACAAGAAATCTTTACATATTTCATTGTTATTTATTTAATTGTTCAAGAATTTAGCTATGCTGTCAGAAAATGTAACTTATTTTACATTTATTGATCCCAGAACATAACACATACATCTACATTAAGACATATTTCAAGGAGACTGTCAATGAGGTGACTTAAATGCAGAACAAAAAATCAATGTTCACTTGAGGAGATTGTCGATCCAAAGTTAGGACTTTTCCTTTAGCAATTTTCTGAATGCACCAAAATCCACTAAATGGAGAATAATGGTTTTGTTTTTCAACCAAATTTCATAATGCTATAAGCTTGACCTCAATGTAATGTCATCAAGAAGCCAGAGTCCTAACAGGGTGAAATTTGCATTAAACCACGTTAGACATCATTGAATTCAGATTCATTAACGTTATCAGTTTGGAATTCGCCTTAAGTCATTCAGAAACCTTAACGTCGTATGTGGGAATGCTAAAGTTATTAGAGGGGAATTCTACCCCAATGCATTCAGTGGAAAATTTAACAAGGTAATCACGAGTCCATAGTTCTATCTCTAGAATTATACCTCTTTGAAATGAAATTTCTTAACTTTATTAGTTAAAAAAAAAAAAACCTCATTACAAACAGATTTCTTTACGCAATCAGTAGTTAATCAACCCAAATGCAATCAGAAACTATAACGATATCAGTGGAAATCTGTCTCAATGCATTCGTATGCCTTAAAGACATCAGTGGGGAATTCTATAACATTAACGCTATCAGTAGTAAATCAACCTCACTCAAATCGCAATAATAACGCTATCAATGGAAACTTATTGCAATCAAATTTCTTATTGTCATCAGTAGGAAATCTGTTTCATTGCGTTCATAATTCTTACTGTCATCAATGGGAATTCTACTTCATTGCAATCAGATTTCATTTCGCTCTCTGTGGGAATTCTACGACATTGCTATCAGATTTCTTTACGTAATAAAATCATTGCATCCAGAAATTATTATATTAATTGCGGGAATTCTTCTTCACAGCTATAAGATTTCTTAACGTTATCAAATGGAAATTGACTGTATTCGCAAGCTTATTCCAATCAACTTGTGCAAACAAGTGCATACAACTTCCGTAAGAGCTAATAATTCGTATTGACCCAAAGTTGTTGAAAGTTGAGAACTGATTGCTTTAAGTTGTTTAAAGTTATGTTGTGTTTATCTTGTGACCATATTTCTGGCTAACTGAACGTCAATAAAAATGTAGTTATAGTCTTCTGTATTGACATTGATACCGGACACTTCTATAAATGACCATTTGAGGTCTTTTCCGCTACTTAAAATCATCATCATTTAGAATTTTCACTTTTTTGCATACAACATTTACACACATTCAAACACTTTCAAAAAACGTTCTTCTTTGATAACGAAATATATTTAATTCAGATGGTTAACAGATTCAGTATATAAAAATTTTAGCCTTCTTACTTGTTTCTTATCTAACATTGAAACATGCTTTAGACTAAACATTTCATATCAAACTTATATAAACAAATATTGTTTAATGTTAACAGTTTTGTCTGCCGAGGTCGTTTTTACGGGGGTTAATTGTCGATACGCGACGTGGAACTTCTTACGGTTTATAACTCAGAAAAGGCGGTACTGATAACTGAACTAGCAGAGCAAAATACTTATATTTTTTCCATCTGACTTGCATCAATATTATAACAGTAAGGTTGCTAACGGCAATGCATAAACAGGAATCAGTGGCACAGAGAACAATGCTTAGAAACTATAATGCATCATTTATTTACCGGAATATTATGCAACTTGACACAAACCTTCCTTTTGTTTCAAAATTAGAGCAGCAATGACGATTGTGATAAAACTATTTAGGCCATAGAGTTGTATATGAAGAGAAATTTTTATCAGTCCATTGCAATATTTATTCTATTTTATATGTAAACTATCTGAAGAATAAAGGTTTCAATATTGACAAAGAGATTAACAATGTCAAATACAAGTTCCTAAACATTCTCATGGCTTTGATATGAGTGCCAGACAACTCAATATAGGAATGTGAGATACAAAATAAATAAAGCGAGAAATGAGGATGAGGTGAGATGATGAGGTTGGACAAATATTAGAATATTGTCATCAACATTCAAAACATTACATAGTCTCTATGTAGAACTATATACATGTATACATTTAAGAGTGCACCGTTATCAGCTTAAATCCTGCTTAAATCCTGCTAAAATCTTTTATGGTGGATGGGAATTTTCAAACAAGAAATATAGAGACTAAGTAGAAATGATGGAGCCTACATTATCAACAAACTAAGTTTTAAGCCCCTTAAAAAACTTATCAATATTCCAACTGTTTACATCTTGTTAATAATATGATATGGTCTCAACCAGTAGGCGTATATCGAATTATGGATGTTTTCATACCAAACCCAAACACCAAATCTTAGAAAATATAAATTATACCAGATAGCCTAAGTATTTTTAAACTGCAAAAGCCGGCAGATATGGCAGTTTCTGTGTTTAGAATATATTTCATGTTAAATAACCATGAACATGGTGTCGTCGCTTCTTAACCGAAACGTGCTGGTAATTAATTCGTACCTTAGACCGTTACTGACAAGTTAAAACATTTTAACATGGAAGTTGAAAAAAGAGGCGTATCGGATCATAGTTATTTTGAGGCATTATTTCATTTATATCATTATATGTAGTATGATATTCATTTCAGTTTGACAAAGGCTTATACCTGAGAACTAGTTATGAGGAATAAAAAATGTAAAATAGTCGATACCCTAATAAATATATAAAAGATTTTGTGGTTTGGGCAAAGAAGGATAGTTCCTGGTACAGATTTGTTACAGTTACACGTAGAAGGCTGGTAGGGTCCCGAGAGCCCGTAGACACAAACTGGTTTGGAAAATCGACGACCTTACTGTGAAAATATCCTGTCTATCACGTGTACTGGTTCGTAGTGAACTAGAATAGTCTAATTGCCATAAAGTTAGCGCCAAGTGTGGAATAATTTGGTTTGAAGAGGATCAGCAGCGGCGAAGGCGGGGATTACGGCTAGGATGTTTTCACAAGTTTTTGAATAGATCAGAATTAAGTTCAATCTGGCGCTATTCAGTCTAAAACATCAGAGTAAATCACTAGTAAAATACAACAACAAACCACGCCTATAAGCAATGCTGTTTTCTCCAAAAATACAATTGAATTGATGAAATGACGTGACACTTCAACCTCATGATAAAAATCCTAAGTATTGCTGTGAATTTTTATTGTAATATAAAATAAAGCCGTCTGTTATATGATGAAAGTTATGTTATAATATGCAATAGCTTCTTAAATATATTGACGATTCTCCCTTACATGTACCCGCTATAGTTGCTGATCAAAGAAGTAGCGGACTTGGATCTTCCACGGATCATAGACTACATCTAAATGTTTGATAGAAAGAACTATTTCATTGCATTTATTCTAGCTATATCCATGTGTTACCTGTTTATGCAGTGTCAGATCTCATTATTTATATACATGCCATATTCAGGTGGGAAAGTGTTGACGTATATAACGAATTAAGTAATCGAATATATGTGCACTAAAAATAGTTCTTTAGTCGACACCACGAGCTTGTTTGTAGACAAAAACGAAAAGCCCGATAAATGCCAATGCCTGGGCTACAATTATTCAGAATTCAAGTGTTGTAGGTGCTTCATTTGAGTACAGTCTTTTACAGAGCATCTGTCATTATCTTTGATTATGTTTCAAAGGTGGTTAACTGTTTTTATAAAATGGTAAAAGGGCTGCCTCTTGTGCTATTAGCGAAAAATCAATGAATTTTATACATTATCACCCTTGAAAGTGAGACAATTATTTGAATGACAATGTAAATTTCACATCTACTTTTTGCAATTGTTCTTGCGTATCAGGTATTAAATAATTTGGGATATTCTGGGAGTTAAAATATTTCTATCTGAATATCTAAACTTGCAAGCCTTCTCATCATGAGCTAAATGTCGTTTGCCAGCGTATGTTAAGAGTCTTGATATAAAAGTACAAAGTTTGCCTTTGGATTGAATAAAATGTGATAATTTAACAACTAACTCATCGCCCTAGAGATTCAAAAAGTTCATGTTAAAAGTAAATATTTTCTTAGTTTTTCCTGTTTTCACAGGTCTATGATTGTTAATGTGTTAGATTATGTCAATGACCTTTTATGTACCGATTGTTAAATGTTTATTGACTCTAAAAATAAGAGATTAGATGTTACACACTGCTTCATAACGAGTCGCCGTTATAGTTCACAGTATATTTTTTAAACGTTTTATCAAAGGAATTTTAGACTAGAAAAAATAACACTGTTCTAGAATTAATTCAAGCAAGATTACGTGAAGAAATTCCCTCCTATTTGGATCAATAGGAATTAAACGGAGCCTGTAAAACATTTTATATAGACAAACGTGATATAACTGGAGTCAAATCTTTAAACCTTATTGATTTACACCATTCTTGTTTCAATTGGTTTATAATTAATAAATTATCACATTTACTATCACAACATGCTAATCAATTAGTAAAATCAAATATTGCACAGCGATATTATCAATAGATATATTACATAACAGTGTAAAGCTTACCCAGTAAACTGATATTGCTCTTATTTGAGGAGACCAAAGGGAGAAAATATTTTTAAAAGTGAATACTTGAACAATAGAAATTATTAATTTCGCCCTATAGACCGATATTTTGTTTGGCGCTTTTATCGAAGATTATCTGCCATTGCGTAACACACAAAAAGAAACTTCTATACATCTACATTTACATCAGGTTGAATGCGTACTTATGAGAAAAGATCAAACAAATCGCAACTTAAGCTACATGCAGCACATTCATTTTTAACACAAATAACATAATTTTTCTATACAGGCAGAAAATGTTGACGTTTATTTGCGTGTCCTTTTCGTCTAATTTTGATGAAACTTGGTATGGAATTATGAGATTGTGCTAGATTTTTTATTTATTGTCCTTGGCGTTTTCAATGCGCGTCAAAAGTTTTTTAGTTATTATTTTGATGTGAGTCTAATATGAGACTCTAATAATAAGACGGAACAGCTGAATTTCATCATCACGTGATTATATAACTCCACAAAACGAAAAATTCAAGTGATGAATGTTTGGTAAACGTACATTCATGATTAGAAAATGAAAGTTGAAATTTAGTAGTTTGACCTTCATTGATTATTTTAATTTGTTCATTATCTGCACTGCCTTGACACATTATAGATTATTGAATTTAAATATTTGTTTTCGATTCGTCGAAATGTTAATCAGTCCATGTTGAGCTGACTTAACAGGCCCAATTTTAAGTCTACATGTACGAAACGACAACAACATGCCCTCTTCATTACATATACAATGCATTTTGCGTGGTATTCAAACGAGGAATTTAGTGGATTTACAGGAACCACAGACTATTGGAATGGTGCAAATTGATGCTATCAGTGTCCCCGTTACACATAAATAACTTAGAGACCCCCCTTACCTATCAGTGGATTGCTTTTAGCATAATTATGTCCTTTCCATACACACGTTCCCAGCACTTACTAATACTAATCTGAATCCATTTTAAAATGCACTCGTTTGTTTGATAAGACGCCGTTTTCCTATGTCCACGTGAACATAAATTTAATAAGACAAGGCGACTGATTCAGCCCTTGTCTTTTCTCATAAAATCACAAATCACAAATCACAAATTTAAATACTGTCACATAATGTGGACGTCACCCATGTTTGGCTGTCTAAGAAGGTGCGATGCAGATAAGGATGTGTGGACGGCATGCATAATCTTTCATTGCAAGGATTGTAGGTTTTCAAATCGCGTCAAAAACAAAAGCAAAAGTATTTTTGTTATCATTCTGATGTGAGTCTAGGTGAATTGTAGCTGCAAATGTCAAACAATTTTTGGATTTTGTTATTAAAACATCATTTTTACATAAAAAAGATTACTGTTTTATTACAAATTCCCTGTTGTCTTTATAAAATGTAGTGAGACAGGGGAGATATATAAAGCTGAGAGGAAAGAAACAACAAGCAGTACGAAATCACATGGCTTATTCTTTAGTCTTAATTCATGAAATTTATAATCCATTACTATTTGCTCAAAATGAATGGAAAGGATTACAATTAATGCGATATGCAATTTGAAAAAGACAATCGGAATAATAAATTCCTCATATTGACGCTCAAGAATTGTAGAATTACATCATAGAACAGATAAATTCTGTCATAGTAAAACGAAAGCAAGCAAAGATTTAATGGCAAAAAGTAAGAGAGGGGTGCTTGATAATGATCTGTTATTTGATGTGATAAAAAATCCTTTTCAGTTCTATACTAATGGACATTGGTACATTATTAGACCATTGATATATTTACTTACTTACTAAAATCTACTTGACGATCACCTACTAAACACACGATCTTAACATGGACAGTGTTGCTGGATTATTTCAACCTTTCCTTTTAAACTGTATTCAGACAGATGTCTTGTACTGGAATTCAACCTTTCATCTCTCAAGTTTTGGCAATGTCGTGTTAGGAATGTACAAAGCGATTATTTGGTTTTAAGGACGAGATTTAGATGGTATTCAAGGTAATGAGTATGTGCGATGTAGCACTCAAATCAATACGAGTTAAACAATATGACTGTTACCCGCTCCAAATCCTTGTTTACCAGCCAGGCAATTTTGGCAATCAATCGCGTGTATCTGTTTTACTTGGAGAAGAGAAGAGGAAAGAACTTCATTTTCAACTTGTTCGTGGTTGGTGTAAACGTAAAGATCTTGGTGTGTCTCTAGAACTTATTGAAACTTCGTCTTTATATATTAAGTTCTTCATTATACATAAGTGATACAGATAGACTGTTGCGAGGATATGATGATTTAAGACAATTTTGATTAAGGACAATATAACTGAAATTTGACCTAAAACTTTTTAACCGGAGTCTTTCATCATCTGAATTAATGTATCTTCGTAGATTTGATCACCAAACTTTAATAGCTCAGGCTGTTCTACTTCTGACAGGATTTACGTTGGCGAAAAACCCAGAATATCCCTGTCCGGATGCTATTGCTATACAATGGGTCCGCGATCCCCGAGATTGTACCAAATACTTCATCTGTCATTTCGGAAAGCCGCTAACGATGCCTGGTTGTCCTCTAGGACAGGTATGGGGTAACATGGCGAGGAACTGTGTACCAGAAGGTTCTAGATGGGATGACTGTACATTCACTAAAGAAAAACCACCATCACCAGGATGGGTTCCTAAGGCAAAACATCCAAATTCTATAGATGGTACATTTTTAGCTGCACCCATCTTTACCAAGACCACAAGAACAGAAACCATACCAACAACTATAGCAACCGACCTAAAATACCAAAAAACGGTTATTATTCCAAAATCAACTAAACGTAACCAGACCAATAATCGACTTTCAAAATCACCGTTTGTCAGATTTACAACGACCACAATGGTTAACTTAAAGGTGAAATTAACCGGTTTACCAGAAAAAGTACGCGATGAGAAACCGGTTTATCAGATTACAACACGGATGAAGAACATAAATCCTTATCATACGACACAACGGACTGTTGAAATACCTGGTGATGACTTGGCTACAATACCAGATACTACAACATCCAAAAGCATCCAAATAAATCATCAAGTATCAGATGAAAAGAAATTATTTGAAAAAGGTAGGTTAATTCATGATTTTATTTTGAAAACGTACGTTATAATATGCATGGTTCACCATTTTTTACATGGCACAATTTGTAAAGCGAATTCATAAAGTATTTTATCACTTTGTTTCCATAATTAAAAAAGTATAAAGGAAACTTTGTCAGTCTATGGAATATAATGTGGAATTTTTCTGAGGACTTGTCAAAATTAAAGTAAAAATTACACTCTAAATAGGAAGAATGCTACGAACAGATATAATGAATCAGTTCAAAATGTACTGATTGAATTCGAATGAGCGAGAATTCAGGATAAACAATGTTAAGCGAAAAACTTTTCTATTTAAAATTCCTGCCCAGCAATTCAATGATTTGTCCGAATTGACAAAGCTTCGAGAATTCAAAAAATGTTGCTGGGCAAGTTAGATAGAAACCACAAGCTATAGGTAAAGAACGGCAACGGTCGATTTTTGTCAAGAGTTTTTAAGAATGCCAATTTAAGAACTCTACCAAACAATGTTTAAAAATTCTAAAATACCTTATTCCCGTTTTGTACAGATTATGAATCGATTTAAAATGTTTAACATTGGCTGTTAAAGTGTTAATAAGAGTATACATACACAGACCTTACAGTTTTTATGTTCAATTGGCGACGTTCGATTGGAAGGACGTACAATTTTAGAATTTTAAGAAGCTATTTTCGTCAACCTAACTAAAATAGATTCAAATCAATGTTAAAAGAGGTAATCAAGGACAATCACTTTTCATAAATTTTATAAGACGTGAAAATATCATTAACAAATTCTCATTAATCATTCGGTGATTTTCGGTTAAGACGACATTTGAAGACTGAAATGTAGGCCATTGAAATAGCCTTCGCGTCATCGTTGCAACGAGAACCACTGGGGATGCTGCAAGTTTCGTGGATGTTAAACAATTTCTTATGTTGTCTTGATTTTGTATTTTGCCACTGAATGTGCATTGTTCTGTAATAGATATTCTTGTTTCTAATTTTCAATCTTGAATCTAAAACCACAGACTCAAATGTGCTGAATTTCTGCGGTTAATCTAAATGATTTGAGTGATTCGGAATTTGAAAATCTTTGAGCTCTGTAGCCGACGTATTACTTATAAACATGTCTGGAAAGTGGTTTGAAATAGAAAAACAGACTACTTGTTGAAAAATTCGTCTCATTTGAGTGTAGGTAATCTGAAAACCGCAGATTATTTTCGATGGTATTTTTTCGATTGAAAGGCACCTGAGGAGAGTTTTTAGTCCGGGAAAAACTGTCGAGATTAAACATTTACAGGCGTTGTTTCTGCTGATTTGTTGAATTTCAACCGTTAATCTCTGACAATGTTCGAAAAGCACAAACACAGTGTTATTTTATTTAGTTTTTATTCAAATTGACCCTAAACTAACAATCTTAAACGCTCAATGGTGCATTTCATTTGTCCGAAACATGCAGACTCTATCTCTTGTCTCAGGTGTTTTTTGTTTTAAAAAATGTTTTGCGTTGATTTAACTGGGAGACCGTTTTCAGGTGGATTTTTATCAATTATATTACACCTCATTCCGAGATGACTTTTCACCGTTACTTATCTTCATAATTGTATGAGTGTTAAAATTAAAGATAAAATTTTTCGATTAAACTGGAGTGTTTTAACTTGAGTTCTAGAAGGGTTTGTAACAGAAAAATACAGCTTAGGTTTACATTATTGATCTAATTAGCTTCATTAGTTTGGATTGGCGGCTTATTGTTAAAAAAAAGAAAAGTGTTAAATAATTACCATACAATTAATAAAGGAAAGTGGGTTTCATATGTCATTAAGTTACTACCCAAATCCATATTAATTCCAACAAAAAATATTCGCCTTTAAATATTATAAACACCGTCAGAGAAAACAAGCCACTGTTGATTTTCGTGTGGCATTTCATCTGAACAGTTGCCTAAATTCTCTTATCACGCCAAGAAACAATGTTATCTTCAATATCAAATTTTCAAAATATTTCATTCTATTCATTGGCAAAATCTATCGAAATTAACGATTGTACATTCCAGTGAACTGGTGCTTGTATTTAAATATTTGAATATGACAAAAAATTTAATTCGTTAACACGACTTAAAATTAAAATTAATATTGAAAACGCTCATTATCGTATTGATACTGTGAATTTTATGAGGGAATTTGAAACGTTCTATTTGTTTTCAACCATTATTCTGTCTGTTTTAAAACTTTGAATCATGCCTCGTATAAATCCGATTGATGCGATCAAGAATTACTGTGCACATTCTTCAATGATTTTTGAAATTTGTTGACGTGAGACAAAGTTTTGTGATTTGTTTAGCCGACTTGTATAGTTACAGAATCGATTATAAACTAAAGAAATGACGATACTCATCAATAACACATCAACAGGTCACATTTAACTGAACTTAAACAAATTAAAACAATTCCGCCCCACCGTTAACATTTCTACAATCAATGAATCAACTTTAATTAGTTAATTAACCAAATTATTTTTCCCATACATGAATTTCAAACCATTTAGTCTCGACATTTGAAGCTAAAGGCCTTTAAGGCTTATACATTCATTTCGGATTCCTTGTCAGTGGTAATTATGTAATGTATAATCTCATGTATGAAAAAATATACCAAAAGGCAAAAGAAACGTCACTTCTGAAACTACTGATAAAACATAAGAACCACGGGCAGCTACATGCTCTGTGATCACAAAATTACCGATTTTAGGTGCTACTGCCTCTTTTTGTTGCCTTGAAGTCCATTTAACACTGATGTTCTTCAATGTTGTTACTTACATATAATATATTGATATTTTGAAATAAGGATATATATAGAGCATACATCCACATCACGTTTCTCTTGACATTCAGTAGAGTTCAGTTTCCTATATCTCAATACTCTTCTTTTCAGGAAGCCCATGCTATGGTCTTGAAGACAGATTGTTACCTCACACGTATAACTGTCATTGGTATTACAACTGTAGTTTATCTAATACAGAAGAACCAATCTATGGGGAGCCATATGTCAGAGAATGTCGATATCCCCAATTATTTGATATAGAAACCAGCATGTGTAGAGAATTTATCAATGTTAGATGTGGTGACAGATTTGAAGCTGTTGACAGATGTAAGTATACCGCGTCTTGCAGCACGGTTAGTCATGTTTATGGCCACTTTTCCTGCTTTGAATTTCTGTTCTTTCAGCGCCATGCAATGTGCAGTTAGGCAACGGTATAAGCATAATCGTTCAAGATTTCCAACTGAAGGATCTCCCCGACCTGCAATATTTATAAGGGAAATAGATGGAACTTGGTTAAAATGAAATGAAATGAAAAGAATGGAGTTTTACGTCCTACTTTTCTGGGAATTTGGTTAAAGATAAACCTAGTGTTTATGGACGAAGTGTCAGTATCGCCGTTACTCTGTCAAAATTGTTTAGGGGTGTTCAAGATATGCTCTGGACAATATTCCAAGGTCAGAAGGAAAAAGTAGGTACAACTAAATAACATATTGTTAACACGCTTATAGTTATTTAAATCAGAAAGATACAAATTTGAATATATATCCCTTTTTAAATTGCCCTTAATCTTTTACTCCTATGCACGAGTCGATTTTGGTAAACTTTTGTATATGAGCTTTTGGCGGTTTATGTGATTGATTTAAGGAGAGCAGCAATTTCTATCAATTTTTCCGAAAATTATTAGCGTTAAGCTAAATTTACTAGTATTTACTAATGTATTAACCCAACTAGCAACTATTTCATTTGACACATAGCATTTGACATTTATCTTGAAGCTGACACTGTACATTCACGAAATCTCACTTTATCAATTTTTCTTTTTAGTTAGCTACAACCTTACCGACCAATTTCTCTTAAGAAATTATATTTAAAAAATCGATATATTTTTCTGACTTTTGTAAAGAATAATTTATATGGTAAATACAGGAAAACAATGAAATCATCAGGGAAGATATGAAGCATGTTATATTTGGAGGAATAGCGATGAATAATTGAAGTAAAATTTCTATGATTACAATTCCGCAAATGACTGAGTAATTTATGATAAATCAATAATAAACCCTTTAGTCCTTACATCAATGTGAAAAGAAAGCATTGGCGTTCCATTCCAAGGAGATTAGCTCCTGTAAAATGCATTATCTAACCCATATGACATCACTTACCTTGATACATGATTTGACCAAGCGTGGTCTGACGTAACCAATATTTATGTTTACCTTACATTAAATACCTGGATACTCGTTAACAACAGAAACCACGATACTTATCTATCATCTATATTTCTGTTATCACATCAGGAACCACGATGCTTTAAAGACCATGTATTTGCTAAAATATCAGAAACCGTCATAATTTATCTAATATCACAAACCATCGATACTTTATGAAATATAGAGATGCTCGTAATAGCGTTAGAAACCAACATACTATATTTGACATCAAGATACTTGGTATAACATTTTATTTAACATCAGAAACCATGCTACTTCATCTAAAATTAAAATACTTTCTGATATAAACAAAACATGATACTTGTTATGTGGTGAAACGAAATCAGCCTTTATAAGTCGAGAATATGCTGTCTGACATCACAATCCATGATACTGATGGAAACCTGATAGTGTGACTTTTTCTGCCATCACTATCTTTCATATTTAAATTTTAAAACCACAATACTAATCACCATCTGTCAATATTAAATTTTGATACCTCAATACAAATCACCATCCACGGTACTTTATCTGAATTTGGTACTTTTGTAGGTGAATATGATATTAATCAATGCAGAACCTCAGATTGTGTCCCGTGTGAATTCGTCCACGGAACTTGTCGAGGAAAGGAAAATGGTATATATCCACTACATAGCGATAGATGGTCACCAACATTTGTAACGTGTTACAGTCAGAGAAGTATAGCTCAAGATGATTGTCAGGATCCAAACCCGATATTCTCTACCGATGTTTATGATTGCGTTTCGATATATGAGGTACCAAAACCATATGGTGGATTGAGACCAGAGTGTTCATATCGCCCTGATGGTTTCTACCCAGATGAGCAGAGTCGTTGTGGTATGTTCTTTGAATGTAAAAACAGAGAATTCCTTAGTTATGACAAGTGTCCTTCCGGTTTAGTATTTGATCCTTTAACATTAAAATGCGAATCAACAGAACTTTCTATAGCACCATGTGGATCTGGTATAAAACCTATATGCATTGATCGTATGGATGGCTATCACGCTGACCCTTATGGGCGATGCAGTTTTTATTTTGAATGCAGAAAGCGCAAATTCATTAAATACCACACATGCGATTACGGCTCATTTGACCCGGTTACATCTGAATGTGTTCTGGCAACCGAACTTCTTCCAAGGCCTTGTGGACTTTTAACAAATCCATGTGAAGGAAAAGACTCAGGATTTTACACAGACTCTACAGATGGTTGTAGAAAATACTTTGAGTGTGGACGAGGAGTCCTAATTCGAAATGACACTTGTCCACATGGTTCAGTTTTCAATGAAAAGATCGGACGTTGTGATAAAAAGGAAAACGTACCAGCGCCTTGTGGAGAAGCACCGACGTGTCACCATAAAACTGATGGAAAGTATGCAGCGATATCGAAAGGCTGTAGTTTTTATTATGAATGCAGGAAAAATGAGTTCCTTGGATTCAAACAGTGTTCATTTTCAGATGGTGGATTCTTTTTCAACAATATAACGAACACTTGTGATTATCCACAAAATATTTGTCCACCATGTGGGTACCGTTGGTGGGGCTGGTAAGTAACAACTTTAACTGTAAACTGCTTTAACTCGGTAGAAGCAAAACTTTTCGGCTTGGGTTCTTTCTATCTAAGATTATACTTTCAATGATGGACTACCAACCGTCATCTACGTAATTATTTCATCTTCTTGTCCTTTTTGACTCTAGAACTGCTATGCCCGATACAACTTGGTATTCAAGCATATTAAGCAATCTGTGTAATTTTTACATTTTAAGAAATTATTAGATTGTAGATGACGGTACTCGTGGGAGAGGCTTTTATGCGCATGGTCCCGTGGACCAAGCATCCATATACTCGCAAAATCTATAGCAGCTTCAGCTGTGATTTCCTTCTATATTCTGCCGGATTTCAACTAAATAGGTTACTGTCTGTCAGTGGTTTGTATTTATGTCTGTAAAAGCCATGATGATGTTTCTATTATTTCTTTGTATTTCTTCCTACTTATTTATAATGTCGTCTGTTCTTGACAACTTAATAAATATCACTTCCGGTAACGCTCATGAGAATCTTAACAAAGGTAGGTAATAAAGGTGGACTTCCGGTATTTGAAGACATAATTATTATGTGAAATAAAGACGGTCAGCGAGGTAGGTATAGTAGAACGGGGTAGATGGAAATTTGCATTCAAATCATATAATCAAGTGTTTGTATTTGCAATGTTTTGCGGTATGGTGTTGGTATGTTTGATTTGTTGTAGAGATTAGTTACAACTCTAGAATAATGATATTTGGTCATCAACTTACTGTTATTTCTTAAGCATATTTCAAGCATAATTTTGATAGTTTATAGACGACTTTCCTTTTCTGTTTTCATGTTATTCTACTGAACCACAATGACGGCAATTGACCATTTCTTAATAAATTTTCTTATAAAACGTCCATGCTTACATCTGTATCCATTCATTCTTAAGAAATCATATTCTACGAGTCATGAGAGTTTGTACTATGTATCTTGCGTGTTTGTGTATAAGTTATGGAAGAACATGGCTATGGGTTATATTATTATGGAAAGGGAAGAAGAAGAAGGGTAAGGATGGTGCTAGCGTAGAAAGCTAGATGCTGGTGTAGGGATTTGTTTGTTTGTGATTGGTTCTCTTACAGCACGTGACATTATACATATAATATAAATGCATAATTGGTCGACCGGGGTAAAGCTATCTTTCTTTGTCTCCACGCCCACAAAATGATGGACTGCTCCTCACGCTCGATGTCTGATCGAATGTTCACTTAAATTCATTTTTAATGAAGCTTTCGTATCAAATCAATGTGGTTTGTTTTTATATCTGAATATTCACTATAAATTTGCATGAGTTTACTGGAAATGTAAATTTTGAACACATTAATTATTTTCATAATTGTCATGAATAATTATTCGTCCTGTTTTCAAATGTGTACATAAGTTTATCCCAGTTCCCTATTTCTTGGCCCCTTTGGGGTGTTTCTTGGCTTTGGTTTAAGATTAACCATCATGATATATATTATATCTGCGGTGAATGAAATATTATAGAATGAATTAATATCATAAGAACAAACCGATGCTATCTTTTCTCAAAAGTGGTCGGTATACCTAAATTAACAAATTGGCCCTCATTAATCGATGTTAATGTCACGGTAAGGACTCTGTCAGTCGGTTGTGTCTGTGTCTCTTTTGTCCTCTTGTCAATCATTCTCTGGAAATTGTCATACTGCACTTTGAATCCGATTTTCGGCTTTCCGAGTTCTTCAGCTCTTATCGGAACTTCATTTTCCTTCCATTTGACATAAAGAGAATGTGTTTTCACAAAATTGTATGTCTTATTTGATGTTGAAATTGTGTTCTATTTGTCAGCTTTCTTGTCCTGTCCTGTTGTATAAAGCATAGCATAATATGCTAAAATGTGATATGCTATGATATATGCTATATATCCATGTGAGCAACAGGGCTTCATCAGCAGCAATAACTCTTAAATTGTAACCTTTTCTATAAATTCTTCGATTTTGAATAAACATAAACCTCTTTTGCTCAAGTAGTAATAGTAATTTCACAAAGCTAAACTAGTTTCAGATTGTAGATACATGTATTTAGTTAGTGATAGTGTAGATTTCTGTAGATAAAATAGTCGTATCTTTCTTTTACACAGTAAATTGTATAACAAAGGTATTTTGGAACGCAAAAGCGTTACTACTTAAACTAGGTTTGGAAAAAACTAATACTTTCTTCATTTGCAGGTTAAACTTGCAATCATTTTAATCTTGTTTTCTATTATTTTACACCATGTAACAGGAACTCATTTGATGTAATATTATTTGTTTCAGTCCTTCAAGTGTTGTGTAAACTGGGAAAGGGAATGTCTAAATAGTTAAATATCGTAACCTCACTGTTGGTGGCTTGGTCTGATCTCATATCTACTTGATGAATAGTACAGTGTTAATGGTAACGTAATGAGTGGTATTGTTATATATTGTACAATGGTATAGTAAAGACTGTACATAATGAACTTTGTACAGTATGTATACAATGGTAAGGTACTGATGCGAAAGAGCAAAGTAGACAATCCCAATTTAAAAAATTACAAGATATTATGAGATAAACAGGTTAGGTGTAATCGGACGAAGTTCTAAATATGTAAGTGGTACACAGTACTGAACAATATGGTACAATTTGCATTTGTCGTTGTTTTATCTCAGTAGAGATGAGTTTAGTGATATTGTTTTAAACGTTATGTTCCTATGATTATTGAATGAAAATTATATGTGTGTATATATGGGCAATTATTTAGAATCCTATATAATCGCATTTTCTTCACAACATATGGCCATACCAAGGTAAGCGAAATGGTACGAAAACGAAATTGTTATCACAAAGGTAAACATTAAAACAACCTGCTTTCAGTGTCATTGGTATTTGGTTTTGCCTTGTTTCAATTTAAGTTTATATTGCTATGCTATAGTTTTGTTCGTAAATTTGTAAATTGTTCGTCTTCAAACTGAAAAAAGCATAGTCGCAATTTTTACTATATGACTTAACGCGATATCATCATAACTTACTACATGTACTACTTACTGAATGAATGAATGATTAATTGATAAGATGCCCTTCAAATTATATAACGCGTCCCTGCGATTATTTGACTATTTCACAAAAATGTATTCTGATAATGTGACCAATTTGATAATGGATCCTTCGATTAGTTGACTCTTTCACAAAAAAAAACATTTTTATAACGTGATTCTGAGATTAGTTTACTATTTCACAACTGTTTGATAATGAGTCCTGCTATTAGTTGACTGTTTCACCAAAACAACAGTTTTATAAGGTAACTATGTAATTAGTTGAATGTTTCACCAAACAACAATTTGATAATGGGTCCTGCTATTAGTTGACTTTTCACCAAACAACAGCTTTATAAGGTGACCTTGCGATTAGTTGACTGTTTCACCATACAACATTTATTTTAACGCGATCAATTGACTGCTTGATGTAGAAACCAGTCAAGAAAGTCATCTAGCAAACAGTTGACTGTATAATCTAACGAAAATTATTAATTGTTAACTTTCTGACATGGAATCGGTTGACTTCTTGATGACATAGCGAGATAGCAACCAGTTGACTGTGTAAACCTTACAACTATTATCAAGATATCGTTGTAATTTAGCGAGCGTTAAAGATCCTTTTGTTAAGGACAATTGTTAAATCGAAGAGGAGCAGGCTATTGCCGATGCCCTGGCAAAATTTCACTCATTGTACCCTGCATGGCGTTGCTCGTCTTTATTGGCCCACATGGTGCACTTTCATTTTGGTAATCTGGTGAATTAGCTATTATTTGACTAAATGATCTAGCATCAGGTTATCCAGATGACATTGTAACCATGTGACTGTTTACAAACAGCAATATGTCAATATAGGCATAACCCTTATTGACACTATCCAAAAATGATACCAAATTGACAGCGTAGAAATGAAACTATTGCCTGTCCCGTACCTGATGAACACGATATTTCCAGTGTTTATGACAATACAATACTTAAACTTGGTTTGAAAAATTGTACACTTTTTTCAGTTTGAATCGAAGCCGAAAGATATTACTATTGATGTCTAGCAATGAACTCTTCCTCTCGGCATTAGGAAATTCGCTGCCTTTATTAATTGAACGTCGCATTTTGTGCTTTGCGCCATAGGAAATTTTGTGATAAAAGGAGAGTAGTTAGTGGTTTCAATGTAAATTTGTACAGTAACAACATAAGCATAAATATGTATATAAATTTGTATTTAAAGACATTTATATCATAATCTATATTATATAAGGCTGATCTCTAAACTTTTATTATATTTTTGTTGTATATTTGTAAAATATTGTAAATATAATCATATGTACAATAAATCCTACTATATTATTTTTTGTGTATTTTTTTATATAGGAGAACCAGAACTTTCAATTTGGATAGAAAGTAAAACCATTAACTAACTTTACAACGACAGACATCTAAAAGTGGGTTTGCATTGGCAGACTTCTTCTTTCAACCTTCTGAAATCAAACACCGGAAGCCAAAAAGTTGAAAGCGGTTTTCTGTCTAAAAATGTTCCGTTTGTATCGTTTGCTATGGCCAGCAATGAGCCCCAAACCCCGTTTCAACACTATATAGGAGAAGTGTGCGTCAACGTCAAAGTCGCCGAATACACTGGATGAGATTGGCCATATTTTGGAAAAATAAAACCATTGAGATACTCATACGCAGTTCCCACTTCGTCTGAATGAATGTCTTACCCTTCGTGGTGAAATCACACGATACTGACAAAAAAATGTTCATTTCACCTTCACATTTCACATCCTATTTGGGGATAACTGTACAATCTACAATGGTCCGAAGCAACTTCAAGTGATGATGCACCTTAAAAAACACCCATTATTATCATATCAATATTGATATGGAAAGTAAAAATAAACTCAATAAACCTCGATATTTCATTTTTCTAGGTGATACTCGTCACGAAAACAAACAACACAGATAGTACATAGTA